CACAGAGCCCAGCCACGGAGCCCAGCCACAGAGTTCAGGGGCGCGGCCAGTGAGTGTGGCCAGCTCTTTTCTTTCTAAGATAGAACCCCAACAGTAAACTGTTTGGGGAAAAAGATCCTTCAAAAAGCGCCCATGAAAGAAGCATAAATAAAGAAGCACACATAAACCCAGTGCGCGCCGGAATCGTCTCCGCATCAGCTATATCCACGATCTCAGGCTGCTCCAAAGAAAGATCCAAGATTGTCGGGGCCTGGGAAGTGGAAGGGGAGAAAGCGGATTGGTATACTAAACCACACAGTCACCTGTTCCGGAGTGGCCGCACGGGTTGGTTCACAATGTGATTGCCCATTCTGCTCCAATTCCTTAGTATACTATTTTTGTTATCGAACGCTTCGTTCTATATACAAGGAAAACCTCAGCTAAGGTTCTTTAATCCGTTGTTCAAGTTCATACTCTTCTTCTTCGTATTTCTTTGCCAGAGCCGCGATGTTATCCACCCCATCGGCCAGGGTTTGACAACTCCAAACCCGGGAAGTTGTCGACGCGCCCTGCGACATGACCAGCACCTGTTTTCCAGAAACCAGTTTGAGCGTGTTCCCAAGCTAAATGCTGCCGGCGAATCGAATGGATATGAAGTTGCACGGTGTTCAACTGTTTATTGTTTTGATCAATGATATGTGAGCAACATATATATCCTTTTCCCATTCCGAGGCAGTGGCGCAGATCCTGCAAAATAGCGCCTGTCACATTCGACAGACCCATGGATTAACCAGGTCAAGGGCAAAATGCCCTTGTGGAGGTCCAAACATGGTAAGCAAAAAACCCATAGATTTTTTACGGGTTTCTACGGGTTTCTACGGGTTGACTACGGGTTGGAAAACACGATGTTTTTATAAAAACACGATGTTTTGGAACACGACTACGGGTATCCACGGGTTTTCTACGGTTTGCTACGGGTATTCTACGGGGTCCCTGACTTTCTCCATCCAAGAGCCCTAAGGGAGCAACTTTTGTGTAGAAAACATGGACCAAGAACCTCCAACCTGTGCGGAAGTCACCACGTGGATACATGCCCATACAACTCAGGCAATCTTCCACATGATGCCTTTCCACTCTTACCCCACAAGTTGCCCAACAAAACAAATATCGAGCAGTAGATCACTCTGGTTTGGGCAGCAGGTGGCTCCAACCAGGAGGAATCTTGAGATTCCGACCTCTCCGTAAATAACTATATACTTCATTCAGGCGTGCGTATCCCAGGTCAAAGCCCTGGCCCATGAACTGGTACGACTCTTGAGCAGGCGGGAGAAGGCATGGGAGCTTGGGCTGGCCACACGGCGAGATGACCATCTCATCATACAAGTCGGCTAAGCAGCGGCCGAACTGGACAGTGTATTCCCTTAGCTCACCACGGGCTTTCAGTTGTGCATGGTGGTTTGAGTTTTGTCCACGCATATATGGCATGCTTTCATATCTCGGAATCCATGCAGTCGCGCATAGTAAAATGGGAACCAACCCCCGAAGGTTGTGTCCAACCCGTGCCAGGTGTGTATGCTAATAGTACGAAACGTCTTTTGAAGCTTGCGTGAAAGAAAGGTGGTACCCAAACTCTTTAACCCTCAACTGCATCCCACATATAGCTTTCTTTGTTTTGGGGGCAATTGCTTTTGGGGGCGATCGCACTACAGTTAGAAACACACTATGGTCTATGTACTTCTGAAGCAATGTGACATCCAACCTAGTCTACCATACATTAAGTACCATTGGAATCAAGAAACGCTGAAACATTGAAACAGGGAATCAAGAGTCTCTGTTTTGCGTAGTGCTGCTGTGCCCTTAAAGCAGCGTTTTCCATCAGCCGACTGATATTGAATAGTTGTTTGGAGCTTCTCCTTTCCCTTTTTCTTCCATCCCGAAAGCTTTCCGTGGTCCAGCTTTTGGATGACCTGGCTGTTACTGAAGGCATAGTGACGCTTTGGGGATAGGCTCTGATAATGAGCCATCCACCAACCCACACGCCAGACCTCGACCAACAAAACATCAAATGCCTATATAGAATGATCCAATTGTTGAAGATGTTTCTTTCGAATGGCTAAGGTGAAGGCAGCTGAGGACCCCCCATTGACTTCATAGCACAGCCCGCGAAACTCCAGGAACATGGGGTAGAACTCAAAGTTGGAAAGCCGTGGTTGCTCTAACCCAAAGACTCCACCAAGACATACCACAACCACCAGAAGGTAGATGGTCCTCAGCCAGCGCACAAGGATTCTGGATTAAGGAACCTGCTCTCCCTCTCTCTCTCTCTTATATATATATATATGGGTGGTGAGTGGCCCACTATTTACTCACTCTGAGCATCCGCTCGCACAAGGCATTCGCCTCCAGAACACTGGGGTACTCATCAAAGCCAATGCTCGCGCATGGAGCCCTATTGGAGGTTCCAGAGTTAATCGCAGTCCATGAAGCGCACTTCAAGGCAAACATGGCCATGAAGCGGTCAGGCCGGCACTTGAATAAGCATGCCAGTGCCACCCTTATTTGTGTGGTTCAGCTGGTCATGGAACACACTTGGAAAAGCTCGAAGCGTGTCTAAAGATATACCAGCATCGACGGCATCGATCGATATTATATAAACATATTTATATATAAACGCATGAATATACAACAGTTCTGAGATTGCTTTCACCCAGGGAACGCAAATCCCGAAGGACTCAGAATATCCATTGGGTCGCTCTTGAAGGCACTCTTCTTCGAAGGATTGGTTTGGTATTTGATGTCTAGAGACCCAGTACGCCTGCCACAAAGCTTCATATATCGGCTGAGGTTTCCGGCGCCGGCGAAGAACTCCAACATTTCATACTCCTGGCTCGGGGACTGAGTGGTTCAACTCTTTTATATTCAACATCGGGTTGGAGTTCATCAGTTGAATTTGCAACGTACTTATATGTTTTCTTGCTGGTACCCAACCACCTTTGCAAAATATACAGGTTCTGTGACTCCCGTAGATCCCCAAAGATCTGTGGGTGCCTCGTTGAAGTCCACAGTGGTCGTCCAGAGAAGGCAGAGTATGATCGAGGCCAACACCTGGACGGATGGCACTGTAGCATGTTTGAATGGGTGGTTTTTTGAAACACATTCCAGATCACAATGCCCTGCAACGGCATGCGTATATATGTATGTAAGCTTCTGTATGTGGAGCGCTTGCCTTCGGGCACTTCATGCGAAGCAACCTATACATGAGGGCATCTAAGTCTTTTCCTTCAGGAACAGGCATTGTGGCCTATCTCCAAGAACAATGATGCAAAAAAGGCTACAGGAGGCCGGCAGGTTTGCTTTCAGCAAGTCATGACAAAGCGTCCATCAAAACTTGGAAAGATTCTGAATATATAGGACTCTTGGCCCCTCACTGCCACTTGTCAAATGAACGAGATAAAATGATGCCGGAGTTGCGAGGTTTCTTCTTGAGCTTTCGACGAACCAGAAACTGTCTCCGGCTGAGGTTCCGCGGCATGTGATGCCATCAAACCTGCCCAGAGAGGCGTGGGCACGCAGTGCCACTGTGATTGAACATGGGGGAACGCTATAGAGGCTGCCATTGAAAAAAATAACCATGGGCTTTGGAACGCTTTTGCACAAAATGCATCCACTGACTATATACATAAGTACTGATGGTTCTGTAAACGCTCTTTTGTTTTGGACTCCCATCTCAACGGCAAAGGTTTGCGGCGCTAGCACTCAAAAGGTGTATGCGTCCATGCGCGGTGGCACATCCGATGACACAAGTCATGGTTCTTATAACGAATGAAAACACACTGGCATGCGGACAGCTCATTTCAGGTATAATGCCTTTGGCCAAGTCTAGACGCATGTTGCATACATATCTAAGACCCCTGGATACACACTGGCCTACAGTGTGCGATGATACCGGCAATACCGATATGAAACAAAATGCGGTAGCCCTCACTCATTTCGGAGCCACTCCAAGTCGTTGTTGCCGGTGGAAAGCATGTGCAACGCAATGGCAGCATTGGCTTTGAGCTTTCTAATCTCGAAGCCGCCCTTCTCGTAGCCCTCCCACGTGTTCTCCAGGCCCCAAGCCTGGGTGCTATCGCCAATATTAATATATCTAGAGATCGATCTGAAAAAGGGTGTGGGCCTTTTGTGCTCTGTCAACCTACATGGTACATGATCAAACATGCATAGATGTTTGCAACTTCTTTGAGGGTTCGGTATATTCCTCGCTGCATATTTATATATGGTCACGCATATCACATTCCAGAACGAGGGGCTGCGGCCTCTGCACAGAAGACGGCGATTGCGAGCTTCTCACGGCATGGTACCTTTGCTGTGTTGAAGCTGAAGGTGTGGATGTCACTTGCCTTCTGCCCTGCACAAGGCCTCTTCTGGGTCACTCCACACCCATTCCTGGTCCAATAGATGTTGGGACGGTACCACTCCATTTCTCGCAATTCAGCCCTCACGGCCGTCTTGAAAGCGTCTAAAGCCATATCTCCCTCTTTTGGGAACCTCTGAGCAAAGTGCATCATGGCCGACACCACAGCATAAGAGCGATCCGGGTTGTTCATGATGGCATCCGCAGCAGTTTGCCGCTTCCTGCCCCTCTTGGCAGCGGTCTTGGGTTCACGGGCAGCCTTTGCCTTTGGGCTTTTGACAGCAGCCTTTGCCTTTGGGCTTTTGACAGCAGCCTTTGCCTTTGCCCGTCCCTTTGGCTTTGCCTTCGCCTTCTCCTTAGGCTCAGGCACTGGTGGATGCAAAGCCTCTACAACAGCTGGCTGCTCTTCCGCAGCTGCCTTGGCAGAAGTGCGCCTCTTGCGCCGGGGATGATCATCAGCGCAATCATGCCCAGCAACGCTGCTGGCAGACTTCAAGACTTGTCGTCGTTTCTTGATTGGGCTGCGGACCTTCTTACGACCCACTTGCCCCTTTCTATTCTTCTTGCCACCCTTCTTCTTGCCACCCTTCTTCTTGCGGGCCTGACCCTTCCCACGGTTCTGTTTCCGTGCTTTCTTGCTTTGCAGCTGCTGGTCCCTCGTCACGTAGGCCTCCCCCGCATCAAGCTGCGAGTCATGCATCATCTCTGGATCGTCCTGCATGGTCGTGCCATTTTGAATTCCATGCATGTTTGAATCTCAAAATCTGCATCATGTATACGACGTGTGTTGTCACGCATGCAATATCATGCAATATACGGATGCGGAATGGGAAACTCAAGCGGGTCCTTCTTCTCCTCGCCGACAGGCACCATGGAAGCCTTTGGGTCCTCCAATGCTGAAGCTTCAGCAGGGGCGCCCAATGCCAAAGTCGCTGAACCGCCTATCGGCTTGCCTTGGTATTGAGCACGGCGCTCTTCTGGGGTTGTTTTGGGCGAGGGCATGGTTTCCACCGGTACTGTAGACGCGGCTTGTGCAACAGCTTGTACAACCATCTCTTCAGTCATGAGCTGGGTTTCATGGAAGTCAGTGTGGACGAGCGCAGTCTGAACCACATAGGATCCTGCAAATCTCCAACATTCACACTTAGGTAAATTATGGAAGATAACATGGATTCCCTCCTGGTGGTTGTTCAGCCCGCTTCTGCTCGGCTTGCTTCGGCTGCGGATTGGGATTGGCAGCGGCTTGAGCTTGTGCCTTCAAAGCCCGAATCCTGAAGCATTAAATTATACAAGCATAGACCCCAAACAGCTTCAAAACGATGCAACGATTCGTTTAAGACCAATATAAGTCAAAAAAAACGATTTCTTGGTTCGCCCTACTTTCACCCCAAGAGCAAACTGCTTCATCAATGAATTTTTGTCTTTGACACCGAACACTGAAACATTTTTGGAGGAGCAGCTAGTATTCATAAATATGGGAGGTGGAAGAAGATATAGAAAACTAAGCGAGGATCAAAATGGCGGAGAGCTGCTCATTATTTATATATATGGGAGGTGGATGGAGATATAGCAAACTAAGCTCAGAAAATTGAAATCACAAAACTTTTTTAGTTGTTTGTTTGTCCTTCTTGGAAAGGTGCGGACGCAGAGCCGGGCCACAGAGCCCAGCCACAGAGTTCAGGGGCGCGGCCAAGACAAGGACAAGAGGAGGACAAGACCCGGACACAGAGCCGGGCCACAGAGCCCAGCCACAGAGTTGCTGTATACTAGGAGGACAAGAGGGGGACAAGGCCCAGCCACAGAGCCCAGCCACAGAGTTGACAGAGTTCAGGGGCGCGGCCACGAGGAGGACAAGAGGAGGACAAGGCCCAGCCACAGAGCCCAGCCACAGAGTTGACAGAGTCCAGGGGCGCGGCCAAGAGGAGGACAAGGCCCAGCCACAGAGTTGACAGAGTTCAGGGGCGCGGCCAAGAGGAGGACAAGAGGAGGACAAGGCCCAGCCACAGAGCCCAGCCACGGAGCCCAGCCACAGAGTTCAGGGGCGCGGCCAGTGAGTGTGGCCAGCTCTTTTCTTTCTAAGATAGAACCCCAACAGTAAACTGTTTGGGGAAAAAGATCCTTCAAAAAGCGCCCATGAAAGAAGCATAAATAAAGAAGCACACATAAACCCAGTGCGCGCCGGAATCGTCTCCGCATCAGCTATATCCACGATCTCAGGCTGCTCCAAAGAAAGATCCAAGATTGTCGGGGCCTGGGAAGTGGAAGGGGAGAAAGCGGATTGGTATACTAAACCACACAGTCACCTGTTCCGGAGTGGCCGCACGGGTTGGTTCACAATGTGATTGCCCATTCTGCTCCAATTCCTTAGTATACTATTTTTGTTATCGAACGCTTCGTTCTATATACAAGGAAAACCTCAGCTAAGGTTCTTTAATCCGTTGTTCAAGTTCATACTCTTCTTCTTCGTATTTCTTTGCCAGAGCCGCGATGTTATCCACCCCATCGGCCAGGGTTTGACAACTCCAAACCCGGGAAGTTGTCGACGCGCCCTGCGACATGACCAGCACCTGTTTTCCAGAAACCAGTTTGAGCGTGTTCCCAAGCTAAATGCTGCCGGCGAATCGAATGGATATGAAGTTGCACGGTGTTCAACTGTTTATTGTTTTGATCAATGATATGTGAGCAACATATATATCCTTTTCCCATTCCGAGGCAGTGGCGCAGATCCTGCAAAATAGCGCCTGTCACATTCGACAGACCCATGGATTAACCAGGTCAAGGGCAAAATGCCCTTGTGGAGGTCCAAACATGGTAAGCAAAAAACCCATAGATTTTTTACGGGTTTCTACGGGTTT